CATTGACTTACGATAGTCGTAACGCTACGAGAGCTTTGTAAAATGGGGCCCAGTTAATTATATATCTTATCAATTCAAGATATATATGTTACAAAACTCGTACAAACCTGTAGAGGTTTCTGATTCTTTGAAGAAAGTCCTCCTTGGAGTACATATAAGCATTAAAATGTCCATTTTAAAAACCTGCGACAGTTGTAACAATATTTTAATAATAAATATTTACAAAACAAAAAACTTGTTTTTGTCTTGTGAGACCACCCCTACAGGGCCCCCCAGGGCCCCCCTACAGCCAAGAGCAGGTAACTCTCACCATCTACCTCGTACCTCACTTTTCATATTGAACGTGATCAGACAGAATGTGGGGAGGTGGGTGGCCGTACCCCAAGGAGGACTTTCTTCAAAGAATCAGAAACCTCTACAGGTTTGTACAATTCTTTTTCAGAAGAAGTCCTCCTTGGGGTACATATAAGCATAAGACAGACTCCCATAGATAGTGAGTCGGGAGTGGCATTCTGTCTGACAAAACTAAACCCATTCTCCAATGGAATCTACCACCGATTGGAGATAGCAAAACACACCTACCCAGTCACCTGACCGCCGATGTCAATCTGACTGGGGGCGTGGTTTAGGGCAGGGAGTATGTTATGCCAAGCTCATACGCTGATTGGCTTAGAAGCGTATCAATCCACCCTACCTCCCAACCAACAATTTGGAAGAGTATGGGGACACGACAACAATTCTCAGTAACATACACACAGCCAGTGAAGCAAGGTGGAAGAGTATGGGGGACTCTACAACAATTCCAAGTAACATACACCCAGCCAGTGAAGCTAGGTGGAAGAGTATGGGGGACTCGACAACAATTCCCAGTAACAAACACCCAGCCAGCGAAGCGAGGTGGGATGGAACTAACATACACCCAGCCAGTGAAGCAAGGTGGGATGGAAATTATGAGTGAAGCGAATACAACGCCGTAAAAGCCAATTTGAAGCGCGGGAAAATATCACCACCAAATACCATAACCGATAAAAGGAGGAATGACATAACCCAATACCAGGAAGTGCAGAATGATGTAATCTCGAGAGCTCAAACGGCTAAAGAGTTACAACTCCGCCCACTGTGTGGAGAACAGTGTGGCAAAACCGTGCACGCGCCGCACGTGAGTGTTTGTTCCGCTAATCGGTACGGATGAACACGCTCGGATGGCTCTAAATAGTCTCTGAGAAGATCTCCACAATGGGCAGTGCCGCGCCATATGACTTTGGTGTGGTCACTGCCCTTACCGAATGAGTTTACAACCCATCTGGAGAATTAAACCCATGGGAATATAGCCCAGAGACAAGACACCTTGAAATGGTTTGCTTGTTCGTCGAAATGCCAGCCGTTCCACTGCCATAACAGTAGAACAATTGAACATGTGTTACATTTTAGCTTGTGAGGGAGGCATCTGTTTGACTCATGATCGATGGCGTCGGGTCTCCCGGGAACCCCCTGGGTAGATTCCCGGCGTCTGTCCACTTCAAGTGAGGAACCAACCACAACGGTCTCGCAACTCTCTGAGTGAGACCACAGCTGTGCTAACGCCTACTGTAAAGTCGCATCCTTGGACGCGCATGCCAGATAATGACCACTGTCGCCATGTTGCCTAGCAACTGGAGCCATGTCCGTGTCGAAGCCACAGGGAAATCGAGAGATTGCAAAGCAACCCTTCTGAACCCTGGTAAAGCGGATTGGAGACGGGGATACCACGCTACGCCATGTCCCGAATCTCTCTCCCCAGAAAACCAGACTATAGACACCAGTTCTGATTTCTTGAGATTGATAACCCAATCCAATCCCGCTTGGTGAGAACACTCATCACGGAAAGGATTGCATGGCAAGCGCTCTGAGTAGCTGGTCGACTAGATACAGTGACAACTCTTGCCCTGTGCCCCGGCAACCTGTGTTATGATAACATGGGTTTGGTGAATGCCCTTGGTGATGCGGAAGGGGAGCACACAAACCTGATAACACTTCTCGTCGAAGGAAAAAACCTGAGGTATTTCCTGAACTCGGGGAGCATCGGGTTATAAAGGTGCACGTCCTTGAGGTTGATTGAGCCTCTACAGATGAGATCACTGATCTTAGTGTCTCCATCTTGAAAGATGGAACCTCTATCAAGTTGTTCAGCCCTAAGATTAGTATAGGTTTGAGTAAAACCCCGCATTTTCCTGCCCCATAGGAACACCTGGATGGTTGCCTTGTCCAGCAACGACTGGAATTCGGCACAGAGTGTAACAGAACCCAGGGATTTGCTGTGACTTTCTCCCACTCCCTTAGGAATGTGGAAAGCCGACTGCTGACAGGGACGCCGGGCAGAAGGCAGTGGATCCCAACGGTAAGCAGTGTGTGGACTGCTTGCGCTGGGTCCCCTGCGGGACGGCTCGAGAATTGGAAGATTGCTCCAACAAGGGCGTCGAGTCCTTGAAGGTGCCTACTGCCTCTGCGGCCTCCCGTACAGCTGTCAATGCCCTGGAAACAACAGGGTAGAACCCATCCGGTAGTGCAGTGACATGAGCGCCTGTTGCGTAACCAGCGAAAACTGAGCAACAGGCAGTCAGTTGGTACTCGCTATCTGGCTAACACATGAACCTGATAGCATCATGTACCACTGGTGTGGCGTATGACGTGTCATCCGGTGGGCAGTGACATGGGCGCCTGTTGCGTAACCAGCAAAAACTGAGCAACAGGCAGCAGTCAGAGTCGGCGCTCAACCTTGCCTAGCCGAAACTAGAAGTGCGCCCCCGATGAACCCTCGACGGTTACTGCATAGATGCAGTCAACTACCACTGGGGGTCCGTACAATCCCTCCTCCCCCATCAGGTACCGGCGATTGAGCTCTGGGGGATCAAATCGTGTCCGAATTTAAAGAGGAGAGGGATAACCATCTCACCCAAGCGAAAGAGGTGCTGAGCCACTTTACCCGGAGCAAACGTTTCACCATGAAGACAGAACTCTGTGGGGTCGTGGCTGACAACCTGAGGCAGACGAACCGAGCAGGAACCCAGATTGCACACGGGCCAAACCCTGAGCAGACCGAGTCGGTCGGGCGCCAGGAACCTGTGATCCAAGGACCTGAACCAGAGGCCAAGGCCAGCCAGCGCTAGGGTTCCCCAGACAACCCATCACCCGAGTGCCGAGCTCGGATCAGAGTGACCTGAACCAGAGGGAGGAGGCAGACACATCCCGAGCTCTAGGCTCGGGAACGCATCCAACCCCCACAGATGTATCCAATCCACCCTGATGACAGGCAGGTTGCTGAGCTCCTGGTGGAGCCCAGACATCGCACTGGCTATCAAGGATTTCACAGACGACATCTGTTGCTGCAACAAAGCAACAAAGTATATAAGGTTAATACAGGTGCATTGACATTGACAGATGGAGGTGCAGGGGAGGCTGAGATTGGAGTAGACTCAACCACTCTAGCCCGCTAACTCCCTGCCTCTTTGAAAGCACAGGTGGAAAAAGAAAAACTCTTATATTAGGAAGATTTCTTAGACGGGCTTCAACCTACACCTGCAGCAAGTTGGTCTCCAATATGTATGCCTGCTTATTTGAGCCATTGGTGTAAAAGCGAGATGGATAGCGCACCCCTGATCGTCATGCACTTCCTTCACAAGACAACTCAAACACACCAGGTGGCAATAACGCAGTGTTGGAGCAGCAACAAACAGAACCATGCCATTTTACTAGCAGGTAGCTGTTGACGGGGTATGCATATATACACAAGCAAACAGCAAGAAATACAGCGCACGGGCAATATTAAATGCTAATAGCCAAAGCAATTTAATCAACTAACACGCTAACATGTAAAGCAGAATAAGTGCTACGCTATATAGCCTGCGTACTGTATAGAGAATGAGCAAAACAAAGGTGATACGAAACGACCACGATTACGATCTCACTCAATGATGACCTACCGTAATTTTGCTGTAAACAAGAATATTATGGCAAGCCTACTATATAATATGAAAACATTATATAGAAACTCCCAACCATAGAGTAAGCCTAGAGCTAACAATAATAAAGGAAGGGAGAAGAGGTGTGTGGTCCGCCATCTTCTGTCACATGGCAGGAAAACAGACGACCCACCAGCAAAGTTACAACAATTCATGAATGAAAATACCTACATATGAATTCCATCTAACACCCGTGCGTAAATAAAGGAACCATACATACAGTATTTGATTCTTATCACTCATCTTCCTAGGGACAGGGAAAGATTCCTGAGAATGAACACACACACGTCCTTCCTGAGAAACGACAGCATGAAAAGTGAGGTACGAGGTAGACGGTGAGAGTTACCTGCTCTTGGCTGTAGGGGGCTCTGGGGGGCCCTGTAGGGGTGGTCTCACAAGACAAAAACGAGTTTTTTGTTTTGTAAATATTTATTATTAAAATATTGTTACAACTGTCATCAGTTTTTAAAATGGACATGTTAATGCTTATATGTACCCCAAGGAGGACGTCTTCTGAAAAAGAATCTGCACATGTCAATGTAAATCTTGGGTCTCCCACCCACAAAGGATTAGCAGATATACAAATATTGCTACACTACAGTTTATCATGCTACTGTTCCTGTTTTTACACATGCTAGTTGTAGATTGGACCCCCGAGATCAATATAAATAGCACAGGTCATGGTGGTATCTAAATCTTCCGTGGCCTGGCTGTCAACAAAACAGCTGACTAGCGACATTGATTTAGGAAGCGTCATCTAAACACTAGCAGCCTACAGTGATAACTATGTGAAAGACTACGACAGGTATCAAAGAAGCTACATACTTGAAGAAATCAAACTCCAGCGCCTGTCTGCCCAGGGTGATGAACCTCTGCTGGTAGAGCTCCCCATGGGGTGAGTGGTCAGAGAGAGACAGGCTACCCAGCTGACCCCGACAAGACATGTTGAAGTCCCGCTTGCTGATGTGGGAGTGGAGGTTGGTCATGGACACTTGCGCCAGCTCAGTACTCCGGCTTGTTGAGGATCAGGGTGAAGCTCTCCACGGCGAAGTTGATCTCCTGATTAACCACCTCCTCTGGAAAGGGAAGATATGAGGGTGAGGAAAGATTTGAGGCAGGATTTATGCCATTTTGCACTTTTTCACAGTAATTGTGATGATAATGTACTTGCTAATAACTAAACGTGTATGTGTGCGCATGTGTGAGTGTATATGTATGCTTGTGTGTGCATGCATGCGTGCATGTGTGGGTGCATGCAACAAATTCATTTTTGGAAGGGATATTTAGTTCAGTCATGTCATAATACCTCTCCTCAACATCACATTTATAAAATTAACGTGCCGCTATGACACTATACCGCTATGCCATATTTACCTCGTGAAACAGTTTAATGTTAACCGCCTATGATCTCTTTGGTGTTTGTAATAAAGGCTTGTCGGGCTTTTCACCCCTTGTTCTATGTACTTTTTTCGTCCTGCCGCTGATAGTAGACTTACGAGACTTGGACCGAATCTCTTGTTTCATTTTGTTATATTTTGTGAGTTCAGAGAGGATTGAACTAAATTCCTCCTCCGAGATCTTACTGTCAGTGAGTGCCGTGGAAATCACGCTCACTCACTGTGTTCAGCTTTTGCCGGCCAGAACCCTGATCTCATCGTGTTTCAATGCCTTACGATGAAGTCTGCGGGATGCAAACTTAAGCACCAACCCTAACACCCCTGCCACCCCAGCTGTTATTTCAATGCCTAGCACTACGGGGGTAGCCACGATGGTAGCTAACAACCCAACACCTTCCGCTCCCAGCCCCATGCTGGTTGCCATAAGGGCAGTATCAGCCCCGTCCACGATATTGAAAGCTCTATGGTACTTTTTACATAGTGCTTTCCGCGTGTCGCGGTCTTGTTCTAGTTGGTGTTTTACATCACATAACTGTCTCAAGCGGAACCCATCTACGGTTTCCAGGGTCTTCGCTACTTCCTCTACGACTGGGTACAGGCCCATCCTATAATATATATTACAAAAGATATTTTAATTGGGTTTCATTTAACCTTTGGTTAATGTACTTAAAGCTGATATTACTTAGATTAGCGTGCACGTAAAAAAACGGGGTCTTAACTCTACTTCCATTAAGGAGACGAACCCCATCAAGGCTTGCTACAGGTCTGTTTCCCGATACCTTAGTAATACGGCAACGTTTACCATTACACCTGGCTTCCCAAGTTATGATCATATCGGCCATAATGTAAATATGCCTAGGAAACGGGGTATCTCCGAGATAGACGTCTATGATGAATGTGTAGTTTTCCGCGACATTTCTAAAGACCTCTTGGTGATCAAGTAATTTGATCTCTATCTTCACCTTCTCCCTGGAAGTTAACATGTTGCCCGAGTGGTTTGGTATTGGTGTGATATATACATTAGATTCCGGAACTAACGCTCCTACTATAACTATGCCGTTGGGTTCGGGCGAAGCGGCTCCTATAATTATGCGTTGTTCTTAATCTCGGAGATAGTACCATCTTGTCTCAAGGTGATATAAGGTGCGGTGAGGGTTAAGTTGAGTAACCATTCAGGCTCTTTAAAATCTGATAACGACACCCGCCTATACACATTGTCTTTGAAGTGTAGGATGTACAAGGTGTCTTCCTCGCCAGGCTGATTGAATCCCTCCGTATCCCCTAGGTCGTTAAGCGTAGTGTTGGGACGATGACTGGTCATTGCTATAATACTACTACGATATAGTTTCCAACTGGTTTTCTGATAATAGTTCAGGGGTGAACTTCACCCCCATGAAGTGTATGTTGTCAGGTAGGAAGATCTTGGTTAGTGATATCGTGTTTTCCACGATCGCGGTGACACCCTGCAGACTGGTGTTGGAGCGACACCCATCCATGCGTAAACTGTGCAAGCGTGATACTGGTGTCGTTTCACCCACCCGAGTTTGACCCCTTCCACGATCTCGACCTCATTCCCCAATGGTTCCCCTAGGTAGACTTTGATGATCAGTGTTGAGTTAAGCGGTAGACTCTCCAGGATGGTGATCACGCCATGAATTCAGACACCAACTGCAATGTCACGTTTTGCATTCGGTTTACCCGATAGCATGTGGGCTGCCATACTGGCGACTGGGCTGATGACTTCGCACGCTACGTCTCTGAGTTGGGGCGTAAGCCACGAGCAGGGTTCCGTTGATTAGCGACTTTGTTTAGGTGGTTGTCCTTGTTATCCGTGAACGCGTAGGGGGGCCGAGCCTAATATTGAGAAACCAGTCGTCTTTATCTGGTAACAACACCCACTTGTCATCTTCGGTGAAGACGGCAGTATATGGCTTGTTTAATTTTGGGCTGACGGTAGTGCTCTCAACATCGTCTAAGTCGAACAGTTTGCCACCGAGCGATGGGTATATTATCCATTTATCATCCCCGGTGGTGACTAGGGTGTACCGAGTGTTGACTGTCGCTCTTGTGGTATCTACTATATCACCTAGGGCTCCACGGAGAGGGACTTCAAAGCGTTTGTAAATGTTGTTTTCAGTTGCAAAGGCGTACAATTTACCATCTACTCCGGGAGCGTCGAATCATGCGTGTGTCCCGAGTCGGGAGATCCCCACATTGACGCATTTTTCACCCGGGCCCTTTGTAAGCTGGTCATTTTATGTGCAGCGTTAAGCTGAGTATATCCTATATTGCCGGGATTATGATTTATATCTAACACCGATATTATCAGCTCAGGTATGTTGCCCTGAGTCAACCTCTTATACTGCAGCGGTGAAAGCGACTTCGGTTCTACCGTCGTTGTATTTCTCCGTTTTCACCGGTGCGGCTCTCAGTATAGTGGAAGGGTGACCCTTGAATGTTATGCGTTGTGCTCACCTGACCGAGATGAATGTACAGCTCTCGTCACGGTACTAGGTCGGGTAACCGTGCCTGTGGACGGTTGTTGTTGGTTTTATCTCGTCAGGCGGTATACCAGTGTCCTCGCCAATGGCCGGCCGAGCCTCAAGGAGTTTCTTCCGTTGTTGATTAACACCACTGTACCGTTTGAGTCGTTCATCTTGAGTTCGGCTCCCAGGGGGTTTGAAGACCTCGCCGCTAAACTTATGCGAGCACTGCGCTGTAGTAGCGTCAGTTATCTGGCTGCGAGTTCCACTGACGAACAGCTTATTGTTGCTGGCGTTGATGTTAGTCCATTCGCGGTAGGTAGGTGATATCGCAGAGTCGCGACTTCGAGTTGACCCGACATATTATCGATCGCGGCGTGCGTTAGCTGAGCGGCCTCGCCGCTCGTTATTCCTGGAAGTGTTATGTACATGTTAGAGTATATATGCTCATTATATAATAGTTTTAAAATGTATTCCCCTGGAGTGTTTTACCCTAAACTGGGCGTAGATTTCTCACCCCATGAAGATCGCGATCGCTGATGGGATGTATTTCAGCGCCCAGCTTTTAGATGTGTTCAGCCTGTATAAATTTTGGTGACTAAGCGCTAAGGTAGTTCATGCTTGGTTCAACAACCCGATGCAGTTCTGGCAGAATCAACTCAACTTTGCTGTGTGGTGCGCTACAACGGGGTGTGGTGTGACATTGACCGACGACACTCGGCGTGGACGCTGAGTCAGTCTGTGTTCAAGTTCCACGTGTACTACCAGGTCAGGCGTATCCTTAAAGAAATCAGCGTCCAGCTCCCACTGGATGACGCATGGAACCCATTAAACAACAAGTACGATAGAGGCGGGACCTCTGACGTATTTGCAGCAATTCGAACTAAACCCGAAGAGCCGGTTGGCGTTTGCGGGGCGAACCACGGGTTGGGTATCCCCATCGTTCACCAAATGCCCTCGTGGAAGCCAGCAAACTGCTGGTGAAAGATTGGGGATACAAATTAAATTATCATCTCTTCACAACCAACGAGTGGGATGACCGTTACATGGCTTTCAATACCAACAAGGATTACAGAGTCTGGAGGTTTGATCAGGGAGGGGCAGCGGATGACTGGAAAAAGTTTATGTTGGACCGCCCGGAAGGGTTTACTCGTGCGGCACTGAACGCTTAAGCGACTTCGATTGAGCGATGACGTGTGGCGGCGGTGTTGGGTCGCAGGCGCAAACACGTTCCAGTATTATTGGTAAGGGACTGCTTACGGCGGCTCAGAAACAGTTCGTTTGCCAGCGTTGAGGATGCTATCAATGCTCCAGTTGATCTCCGAGTGCCATCAAACGCTACCAAGGCGTGTTGGAATATGCCAGGTCGAAGTCGACTTCGTCTTCGATGTGGGGCTGTACATGGCTCCGAGCGATATGCAACTGAGAGTAAAAAAAGTAGTGGGCTACAACAACAAAATAGTTGTAGCCACGGCGGGCCAAAAGTTGGGCGTCAACCCTGATGTCAACGTCCCCCACGTCCCACCACCCACAACCGGTGAAACGGGTATAGTGGCGCCACCCCCGGAGCCTAGGGCTCAACCAACACACCCACAGCCCCAGCCTGCAGCGCCCAATCAGCAGCACATCGATCGTAAAACAGCCCTGGTGGTTGGTGGGGTAGCTTTGGGGCTCATTTGGTTAAAAATTCCTTAGCCGCTATGTACACCAGACCCGCCCGCGGCGTGATGGCTGCCCACAGGTTTTGACTAAGCCCGTGGCAGTTTTAGCCAAAGCTCAGCAGCCACGACGATGCTACCCAGGATGCGGGTAGGGCCGTGACCTTACCAGCCAGTTTAGCCAGGGCTTCCCCTAGGGATTTCAGGTGTTTTTTTATCCAGTCTTTGACACCACCTGTGGGTGTTGGTGTTGGTGCAGGCGTGGGGGTACCCCCTGTCAATGACACCACCAGGGTTGATATGATGAAGCCCAATGCAGTCAGAATGCTGGCGATGGTGATGCCTTGCTCGGAACAGGATCGAATCCTGTCAGCTAAGCGTGGTGTCTTCATTTAGGACTCGATTGATGGTTTCCGTACTCTACTGATCTGTGATCGGGCTTCCGGTTAGAGGAAGCGGATTCCAACCGAGTCCGTCTCTCGTCTTCCAAGTTTTTATTCTCTCCTCGATCTGACGTTTCATATCACCATCCGCTTCT